TGGTGAATATCTCGCTCAAACGTCATAGTATAGGGTTGAAAATTTTATCGCAGTCTCTCCACTACAGCCCCGACATATCCTGAAAATTTCAGCAAATTGGCCCAGTACAAAAATTCGAACTTCAAAGGGTTAAATTCGGTAAAAAAAAAAGTCGGGACTCAAAGGGTTAAAGAAACTCATGGATTTGCACTGGTACCGTAAACAAGATATTATGACGTTTCAATGAAATTTGTCTTAAAACAATGACTGCGTAAATTCCAATAGCTAACCAAAACATTGGACTATCCAGGAAATTGTGAAACGGATAGTAGATAGAAACGAGTTATCAACGGTATTCATGATGATTTCTTTAACATGTTCTATTATGAACTGTTCAAATATATGCTACAATTTATTTTATTAAGTATAATTCTAAAAAAGCTTTGCTCGCCTGTGACTTTTGTCATCTATAACATTGAATAAATTTGAAAAAGAACTTTGATAATCGAGAAGAAGGTATCGTTGCATCGAACATGATACAGAACATAAATTATGCAAGCCTTTTTACGGAATTCGATACTTATTAATCATGGACCGAATGAGCATAAATGTACTTGTTAGAATGCCCATCGGTTATTTCAATGCTAAACTATACAAACCCCCATCAGTTATTTGACGGAAAAAATAAGTCATATCCAACAAGACAAATAATATTTGATACAAGTAATAACACTACAGAGAACATATATATAAGTTGCTGCTCATCTTTTGAATCGTTCATTTCAGAATACAAGCACTGTAAACTATAAAATACTAGGAAAACAGACTATTTGTCTTTGTAAATCTCATAAAAATACAAGGATACTTCGAGTTTACCATACATCTATATCAAAGAACAAGGCGGCTGTTCTCTCCACATCTTCCTTGGATACGCAAGTGAACCGATCAACTAATAGCGGTTAACTGCTACTGATGCATTCTTTATATACAGACATATATTTCATCTGTTTACTGTCCTTGTACCAGCTTCTGTTCAATCTCCATCAGTTACCATGGATGATGATGATGACAATATATCAGTTTCGATTTTTACCTTCGCTACTAAATACCAAATTAAATGGTATCGATACATACCTACTCAAAATAATGATGAAAATTCTTGTTGAAAATTATTCGAAAACTTGATAATATATATTCATATTGGAGAAGTAATATTACAGAGACAAAATAATATTAAAAAAATAAATTCATGATGTCATTAGTAAAACTTCAACGACCATTATGATGTCTAAGAATACTTTGAGTTTCTGTTAGATTTTCACAGATACGAAATATTCTATGATATTATTTTTTATTATAAAATACTCGTATTCAAATCGTCTTCTGATTTGTTTGAGAGAAGTTTTGACAATCCAGAGAAATATAAATTGTTGCATTTTCGGTTTTGATTAATTTAAATTTACTTGTATACATCAACTACTGATTTCATTATTGCTTATTTTGGCGTGTTAATTAAACTCCTATCGTAATCTTAATATATTCTCAGTATTTTTATGTATCAACAGCGTAATTTGTATTATCAGATTAAAAATATTGATATCAAAATGAGGTTGTTCATTGATGTGAAGTATCTAGAGAAGACACCAGTGAAAGAGCTCATACTAAACTTTTATTCATCTCGCACAAGTTGATCACTTCTTCCTTTTATGACATTTTTTGTAATTTTTTAAAAATCTTTCTGTCTCAAGAGACAATGTAATATATTAACAGATCTTTTATCTTTAGTAGGTAGCCAGAGAAAGGCAAAAAAAGAAAAGATTCATGTCAAAAAAGTGAGAGTGTGTGAAGTGATGCATGCAAAATATATTTTCGATCATTTTTATCAATATTAGGCCGAGTAATGTCAGCTGCCGATAGAAATACTATAATTGAAACCTTGGCTCGGATAACTGATGATGAAGCTGAATTTTGGACGGTGAATATTAAATAAAAAAATTTCTTTTTTTGTTTATCATTGATGATATTATTTAGAATACATCACCTATAGAAAAAAATCCTGCATCTTATTATTTATCGACGTCAAAAGATTTATCTTCAAATATTTTTTCATCTAATGGTCTTTACTTTAAAACAAATAATCAATTAGATACTGAAATAGAAGATCATTTATCATTATTATATAAAGAAGCAATTCAAAAACAATTGAAACAAATAGAAGACAAATTTGGAAAAAATCAAATATTTGACATATTTCAATTAAATGAAAATATTCATCTCAATGAAAATAATCCTGGGAAAACAATGACCTTTCTTGATCGATTATATCATCAACTAACAAGATCATCACCTTCAGAAATCGATTATTTAGATGATGAAGATTTTACGGATATCGATGAAAGTGAAATAATAGCCACAGTCAATGATAATAAAAATATTAATACATCATGCAATGTTGAAAATAAATTTACAAATATTATTCCATTTTTAAATCCTATGCGATCGTTTATTGATAAATTAATTCATGTCGTTGATTTTCCATCAAAACCGACGGTTGACTCCAGTTCATAAAAAAACAACAACTGTTCGAACAGTTTAGTTCTTTTTTGTCAAACATTTTATAATTTTTCTTTTAAATTAACATGTTCAGTCTTCAAAAGATCAAATTCAACTAAGAAAAATTGAGGTTTTTTATGCTACAGAACATTGTCAGATAGTGTCACGTTTTTCTCTATTGATTAAGCCTTCTAGCCAATCACTAGTGTTGTGGTGGCATTTTTAAGAAATAATGAAACTCGAAAAGTAAGCGACAACCGTGGATATGGATGATACAGGCCACTTGAGCGCATTCACAATATTACGGGAACGCTATTTTTCCTAAAATCTAACATTTATCTAAGATTTTTAAAATATTCTTGCGCTGAATTGCATTAAAATTAGCATAAGAATCGTACTAACTGGTGCTGTTCGATAGGTTTGAGTGATATAGGATATGAGGAGAAAGTTATTATTATCGAAGCAATCGACCATGAAACATTAGCTAATCGAAAAAGTCGAAAAAGGAAATCTTCACTTTCATCAATCGAAAACAATGAAACACTTGGTACCCAAACATCTTTTCATTATTTATTTTATGAAAACAATTTTTTGCGTTATTAAGCGTTCAAAAAAAAATGCTGACTTTGGTTATTTACACATTGATAAGGTTTTCGATTTTCTTTCCTTCAACTCCGATCAAAAAGTTAGACGTAAGGTTTTGTACGAGCAGATGAAACCATACAAATATTCTTGCTTTCACAAATCTTACACTAAATCGTATACAGTAAAATTCTTGAAAGATCTTGTGGCTTTCTGTGATATCTCTACCCAGATCGACCAATCAGAGCGTAAGATTTTATCAGATTATAACTCTGATCTTCTATGATCTTATAAGATCCGATGAAAACCGTACAAAAAAACGCAGTCTCAGAAATCTTACATAAGATCGTACTTTAAGATTCTTGAAAGATCTTGCTGTCGTGTACGATATTACTCTAAGATTGTAGAAAGTTTCATGCGATGGTAAGATCTTTCTAGAATCCTATAGTACGATATGATGTAAGATTTCTAAGACTGCGGTTTTTTCTACGATTTTCACACGATTTCGTCTGGGTTTGTAAGATCTGACGTCTGCTTTTTTGACCTGGGGAAGTACGATCTTCTGTGATCTTACCGTCTGATTTTCTGGCATGAGTAGTAATATAACACAAAACAATAAGATCTTTCGAGAATCTTAAAATACCGTCTAGCGTAAGACTTCTGAAACTTTGATATTTTGTGCATTTTCATCTGATATCAAAATATCAGAAGTACGATCTTCTAAGATTTTACCGT